TAATAATAATAATAATAATAATTATAATAATAATAAAAAGAAAACAGCCGAGCAGAAACCTTTCACACTGCCTCTTCTGTCCAGTAACTTTCCGCTACTTGTCGAGACATGTCTCCACTGACCGACCCGCAGCAGCKCACACACGGATGAATTAAAGCTCGCTAAAGCTGCATTATTCAGAGGTGACACCGGCTCCAAGACACACTTTTACACCAGTTACAAATACGAGCGAGTTKTAACTACAGATTTTAACCTTAGGATTTCACATAAACGCGTAAACAAGTCCGGGACAAAAGACTGCACTGCAGCCAGTTTCGCTGGGGGAAATATTTTCAAAATAAAACAAAAATCCGCCTGGAAGCGTTAAGAAAAACTGGGTTGTTTTTTGACAGCAAAGTGGAGCTTCACAGACTAGCCGCGGTGTTATTTGTGTTTTTTCCCCTCTTCTTACCTTTTTGTTAAGCCGTTCACAATGGGTGCATATCTTTAACAAGTCTGCCACTGCGAGTGAATTATTTTCCACGGTTTCTGGCGGTGYGACGGCGTGCCTCATCTCGTTTCTTCGCCGCACCTCGTCGCTTGTTTTCGGGCCGCGGAAAAAAAAAATTAAAACATAAAAAAAGGGATATAAGTGGATATGTGGTTTGAATGGCTCTTTCCTCCTCCCTTTGTTCCTTGAGGCACTCAGTGGGGAAAATGGGGAGGGGGAGGAAAGTGCTCAGTAGTCAGCTGTTGCAGCCTCACAGCAGAATACCGAGCTCTCCGGCTCATACATTCGGTAAATAAGTCGAGGCTCGTGCGAGTGACGCGCGCCGCAGCCAATCGCAGAGCGAACGCAGCCTCGTGGCAGCCAATGGCGGCGCTAGACTGACCGGGGGGCGGGGCTAAGCAGGGGAAGAGCCTCCCCTCTTTTTTTTTATTAAAGAAAACACCACTTCTCTGCTTTTGTTCTCTGTCAACATTGATCCTGATTGAATTTTACTGCGAAGCATTGCGTTCTGTATGCTAACTAAAGCCTGCAATCAATTCTGATTGATTATGTCCCCTCAAAAAGTCCAGTCAATACTAGTATCAAAACAAGATAAGACCACTCCGGTACTTAAAATAGCGAGTAGGTGCAGTTAGAAGGATGTTTGTGTGTTATCTGAGTGTTCATCTCTGCACAAAAACAACTATCAGCTTCAAGCAGGAGCAGGTCCCCCTAWAGGTGTTTTGCAGTACTGAAGATGCAGGGGAGGGCTATGGAGTGGGGGGTAAGATGAGCCCCCCTGCTCTCCTGGGCGAGCAGCATAAAGGTGCACTTAAAGCTCAGCATCAACYGGAGAGCTGCTGCAACAACAGTGCTTCAGTTGGTGGTTTTCCACCGCAGCCTATCCCACCACAGATAGTGCCATTTCTCCACCAATCAGCCCTCACCGAAGGAGTCCTTTAAAAGTCAAGAGGAAGCAGAGATAAGAACAGGCAGCTCGTACGGCTTTGTTTATGCCAGCCTGACAATGACACGTCCAAACAGTGTTTAACTGGTTTAAACCACCACTGTGGTTACAAAGTCCATTGTCCCTCAGCTGTACAGTGAACACACTGTACAGAATCACACTGTAAAACAAGAGTTTTATACTTCAACGCTTATTGGATATTTTTCCACTTTTTTCCCCTTGTTTTTGCAACTGAGATTGCGCGCACGTGTTTGAAATTTCTTGGTAAACCACAGATAAATGGTTTCATTCATTTCCCATAAGCAGCACATACATGTTGTTTATGATGACATGCCGGCAGCCACGTATGAAATGCGTCCAAATTTTTGGTGACTGTTTGAGCAGACAAACCAAACAAACTGGAGGAGAAGTTTCAATGATCTGTGTGACAGTTTCAAAAAAAATGTTGTAAACGTTTTTAGCTTGGACTCTGTGRTAAAACAAAAGTTAAATTTAGCAATAATCTAAAGAGGAAGACGAGACAAGCCTGCCCTGCTGCCAGTTTGTCACCCGTCTGCTCGTCCCCCAGCACAGCAATGATAACTGGATAGCACCATATTCAGCAGGTTCATTGTGTGCATCAAGCCCCCCCGTCCCCCCTGCACCCAGGCCCTCTCCTGATGCCACAGTGTGGGGTGCAGGCCAGCAGTAAACATGTTCCCAGGGCTGGAGTCAGCACTCCCAGACCTGCTGGGAGCCCCATGGCTCAGCAAAGCTGCAGAAGAGGCTGGTCAGCGTTCGGCTGACGACACGCCAAACCCTTTCACATAAAAGCGCTTAGGCYCGGGGGGGTCCAGCCTCGCAGACACCACCGAACCCTATTATTGTCAGGAGGGCACGCACTGACTAGGCAGTTAGTGTGTTTGTGGAGTGTATGTGTCTCAGTGTTTTTGTAAACACTGCACATCCTCATTTATTACTATTTTGTAATAATGCTGATGATGTTGACGGCCAATTTAAATGGACGTTATCAGCCGTTACTACCCGCTGCCAAAACGGGGGGGAAAAGGCAGATGTTTGTGCCAGTGTGTGTTTGTTTGTCTGTTGTGTTAGTTTAATATCTCATGAACGAGAGGATGGAGTTTATCGAAATTCTTAGAAAGCAATTACTGGATTATTGGATTCTTAAAATAAATGGCTACAGCTCAGTCAACCTTGCAGTTATTGTGCTAAAATTTAGTTTGGTAGTAGCTCGGAGTGCTCCCTAACATGTATTCTGAGAGCTGCATGAGACATCGTTTTAACGGCTCATGAACCACTGGACAGATGTTAAAAATCTCCGAGTAATCATCAAGTGAAGACCTAACTAACCTGTGACGTCAACACAATTCAAGATGGCCGCCACAGCCAGCTGACCTTAGACAGCACAAAAATAGCTATAATTCAGCTCATGATATGGATATTTAGCTCTTCTTTTGAAGCTGTGAGTCGTCAAAATAARCTGAGAACTAATAAATGTGCAGGATATCACACGTTATGTCATTTTTCAGAAGATGTTCTTCGTTTAAAACTGGTACAAAAGGTTGGGGAGAGATTTGCAGTTGGACGTCATGTTTGCCTTTTCATTAACCGAGCYAAAGAAAAGTAACAGGCTGATGGTAACAAAGTGCTTGAAGACATACTGTAATTTCCCACCCCAGTACTTTGCTGTGTGGCGTGTGTTACGTGTAAACACAAGACTGGTTTATCTTCAACATGCGATGCTTTTTTTTAACACCTGAATGATTCATGTGAAAGTTAAATAGTAGCTTCACAGAAAACAACAACTTTCCTTTTAAAATTAGGTACAAGGACAGATGATGAGTGGAAAAAGCATCCGAGTTTGAAATACTTTCAGCAAACCTGTTGGGCTTCTCAGCTTTTTTTTACGCGTATTGATCGACTAGAATCGGCCAATCAGCTCTGAGCTTCATTCTGACACCACTATAGCCAATCAAGTTACCTTTTATTCGAAATGCAAAGAAACTATGGTTATAGTGTATTTTAACTTCAATAACTAAAGTTACAGTTACAAAAAGTATGACTGCTGACGTTAAAAAATCAGACTGATAACTTTACATAGAGACTAGGCTTGTGAATTGACTCCAAAGGTTGGGTTAGGGTTACAACTATTTTTCTTTTTTCCCTTCTTTCTTTTATTTGTTTGTATAATTTCTTAAATCATGTAAAGCATTTTGTATCACCTTGCTGCTGAAAAGTGTTATATAAATCAATTTTACCGTACCCGCAGGTTAACAGGTTAAAAAAAATCTTTTTCTTATCGCAACACAGACTGTTAGACTTCGAAATCAAATTTGTTCAAATCTGCTTTTGGTTTTAGATACTATAGGTTAAATTAAGCRAACGCTTTCATAGTATTTTTTAAAACTTTACATGCAGAGTAGTTTAAGCAGAAAATAAAACCTGTTTTGTACTCAAAGGGTAATTACTCAACATGCTTTAAAAAGTATTCGTTATTTTCATCCACTGCAGCTACTCACAGGTGTTGGAAAAAAAAAAAAACCACTGTAGCTGTAAAAAAAAAAGTGTTGCAGAACTAAAACTAACTTCCTGTATTTACAGTGAGGCCCAATCAGATCAAAACAGTTTCCTCTGTAAGACGAACAGTTAAGGAAATTATTATTTGATCCCCCTGCTGCTTTTGTAAGTTTATAAAGAGAGT